TCGATTAATTAGCAATCATGAGTGAATTATATGAAAGGGAGAGTTAATTAGAACACAATACGATTGGTGAATCGATTACAACTCTGGAATACTTGTCTCTACTGAATACACAACAATCAACTCGTTACTTGATAACTTAGTTATTATTTAGAATTGTAGTATAATATAATCATATTATTGAACTTTGATTTTAGCTGGATTGAATAACAATTTTAGTGATGTAGTGAGTAGTTTACACAAGTCTCTGTGGGTTCGACACTAAACTTATCATTATATTACTTGTCGACCACGTATACTTGCGTGTGCATTTGGGAGCAACAAGTTTTTGGCGCTGTTGCCAGGGACTTGAATATTAAGTACTTGCTAGTTTTTGCTTTAATTGTTTATTTAGTGTAGTCTAACGTTACTTGATTGTTGCTCAGATCTCAGAAACTTTGATTGAATGCATAGGGTCAGAAGCCATGACCGACTTCAAGGTTTTGACCCCGAACCTGAGAAAACATTTCACTGGATGTTGAGGGAAGCAAGGGATACAAACAATATTCAAGCACTCATTCAATTTGTTGTGAACATGGCAGAGGAGCAACATATGGTTGTTCAGGAGGTAGCAATGCCCAGTAGTGCTAAGTATACCTCCAGCATAGTGAAACCTAGAATCACTGGGCACTTTGAGCTGAAATAGAGTATGATCCAGCTACTTCATGCAAACAGGCAATTTATGGGTCTTCCACACGAGGATCCACAGCAGCATATTCTGAACTTCTTGGAGATTAGTGATACTTATATCACTAACGGGGTTACTCCAGATTATGTGAGGCTCACACTTTTTCCATTCTCTTTGTTGGGCGAGGCTAAGCGATGGCTAAAGGTAGAACCAGCTAATTCAATTACAACATGGAATGATTTAGCGAGAAAATTTCTGGCAAGGTTCTTCCCTTCAGGCAAAACTGCAAAGATCAGAAGTGAGATAGTTGCCTTTAAACAGAAGGTAAGAGAATCTTTATACTCATCTTGGGAAAGGTTCAAGGGCCTACTCAGAGACTGTCCTCATCACAATCAGACGAATGAAGTGTTAGCTCACACGTTCATAGAAGAGCTACATTCTGAAACAAAGATTGTGGTAGATGTTGTGGCTGGGGGTCAAGTGTTGGAGAAAAGCTTTGACGAGATATATACATTATTGAACAAATTCTCCAAGATCAATCCGGATTGGCAAGGAGAGATGGGCAGACACACAATACAAAAATCACCAGGGGTTCTCGAATTAGATGTTGTCTCAGCATTGTCAGCACATGTCTCTACGCTAACCAACCAAGTCAATCAGATGACCATGATCATTAACAAGCAACAAGCCCAACCAGTGCAACAAGTTCAATTATTTGTGAAGTATGTGGAGAGGGTCACATGAGCAATCTATGCCCAGCAAATCCAGAGTCTGTATATTTTGTGGGTAATGCAAATCGATGCCAAACTAATCAATATGGGGACACTTACAATCCCAACTGGAGGAACCACCCAAACTTCTCTTGGGGTGGAAACCAAGGTCCTCAGAATCAATACAGGCCTCATGCACCTCAATAGCAATATAGACTACCTCAGGTTGATCAACAAGTGAATCCTACAAGTCACCTTGAAGACATGTTAAAGAAAGTGATGGCTAAACAGCAAGCCCTCGCCGCAACAATGAGAAATTTGGAGCGTCAAATGGGACATCTTGCCAGTGTTCAAAACACTAGATCAGCTGGAGCTCTTCCAAGTGATACTGAGCCCAATCCTAAAGCTCAAGTCAATGCAGTTACCTTGAGAAATGGAAGAGCACTAGAAGAAGTTCCAAAGAAAAAGAAGAATACAAATCATCCTGAAGGAGAATTAGCTCCCAAGCCAGTTGAGGGGAATGAGAAAGATGATAAAGGACCCAAGCCAGTAATTGAGACTAGGCCATCACCTCCGTTTCCACAAAGACTGCAGAAGCAAAAAGATGATGCTAAGTACAAGAAATTCCTAGATATTTTGAGCCAGGTGAGTGTGAATCTGCCTTTGGTGGAAATTTTTAAGGAAGTGCCTAAGTATGGAAGGTATCTCAGAGATATTGTGGCAAACAAACGAAGACATGCAGAGTTCGAAACAGTTGCACTTACTGAAGAGTGCAGTGACAGAGTTCAGAGTAAACTTCCTCCTAAGTTGAAGGATCCTGGAAGTTTCACAATTCCTTTGTCTCTTAGAAAACAAGAAGTTGGTAGAGCCCCGTGTGATTTGGGGGCTAGTATAAATTTGATGCCATCCTCTTTGTTCAAGCAACTCGGATTGGGGGTGCTTATACCTAATACAATCACTTTACAGCTAGCAGATAGGTCACTAGTCATGCCCGAAGGAATTATTGAGGATGTGTTAGTTCGAGTGGGAAAGTTTATTCTTCCTGCTGATTTTATTGTTCTTGATTACAAGGTAGATGAGGAAATGCCCATTATTTTGGGGCGACCATTCTTAGCTACTGGTGGAGCAATTATTGATGTGAGAGCAGGGAAGTTAAAAATGAGAGTTGACGATGAGGAGGTCACTTTTAATGTGTACAAGGCACTTAAGCTTCCTAAGCATTATGAGGACTTGTGCATGATTACTGTGGTAGAATCGAAGGAGATAAAGCAGAGTCCTTATGTGAATTATAGTGATCCAGATGGGACAACTGAGTTAAATGAGGTGGTATTTCCAGCTGAGCGTGTTAAGATAATTGAGAAAAGAACCAGAGATGAAAGAGGAGACCTTCCGAGTGCGTGCAAAAAGGCTAGACTTCATGGGAGAAAGAAGAAGAGAAAGCGCCCAGCCTGAGCAGAATAGCAGAGTCGTGCCACGACTATAAATAAGGCACTTGTTGGGAGGCAACCCAACCTGTATATCTTTTATCTATTGATTAATTTTCTTTAGTGCCAAGTTTTGTGTTGTTTTTATTTTGTAGAGTAGGGGAAGTCTGAGTACCCAAAGTTGGAGTTGAGGAGCATATTTGATCTTAAGTGTGGGGTCGTCCCAGCCCTTAATATTGAGGATCATGTCCGAGCTAGGTCTGAGAGGGTCTCAGGGAGTATTTCTCACCCTTGTTTTAATATTTCTCTATGATCATGCATCGAGAACTATGCATAATATAACTGTGGGGTGGGGAAACTACTTTCTGGAGTATAATTGTTTTTCTTTTATAACTCGTAATAGACATAGTCTAGGTTATAAAAAAGTTGAAAAAGCTCGGACTTTTCCCGACGATGGATCTTTTGGACAATTTTCTTGAGGGATTAAAGTCCGATTTAAAAAACACCAAAAAGATTTTTTTTTGAATAGCTAGGTAGTATTCCTTGGTTTTTCTTTGGGCACCTTTTCTTTTCCAAGGATGTAGCTCGAACCGGGCACTTTTAATTTCTTTTCAGGAGTAGTTTAGGAAGAAACAGAGTCGTTCTGAGATACTCACTGGCATGGTTGATGTTGGAACATTAGGCTATGACATACATTTTGTTTTCCCATGTATTTGGTTTAAATTGTAAAGCCTAAGTAAAGTAAATAGCCTGTTTTGTGATGCCTTTTCTCAGTTGTCTGACTTGTATGCCGCATAGTGCAATGTTGCTTAAATTTCTCATTTATTTGTGCTTGCTTGAACTGAGAGTTGAACAGAACCGTCTTGATTGAGTCATGTGTAACGTGTGTGTGAGGATTCGTAATTTTCTGTGCTATCCTGTGTAGTCTAGAACTTGCTCCGTGTGTTAATTGAAGCGAAATTGTGAGTTGTTCTAATCTAGGAGATGATGTACGCATTTTTCTTGCTTGATCATAGATGTGTTTGTCACATAAAAATATAATTTTCCATTGCTAGCCCCTTTGAGCCTATAGACCTTTCTTTTGGCACCCACATACAAGTCATACCCCTATTTTGTTCTTAATTTGATATTGATTGAACTTTTACCTCCTAATGCACTTAGTCGCTAAAAGAAGTAAGGTGAGATATTGGGGAGTAGTTTTCGAGTGGAAACATGGAAGGGCTCATTGGTACACTAAAGTTGAAATCAAAAGTCACTAGCCGATGAACTTTAATGTATGGAGTGTGTGAAGAAAAAAAAGAGAGAGAAAGGAAAAGAAAAATTGCAAGAAAAGAGAAAAAAAATGATAGTTCAAATAATGTAGAAAAATACACACCTCCAATTCTTATTGATTTGTGCTAGTGACAAAATAGAGAAGTGCTTAAGTGAAAAGAGGGCTATGTTGTATATGACAAGTGATTTGGCTGAGAAGAATATGTGCTTGAAGTGTAAATGCAGTGTATTAAAGTGCTTAGGAGGGTGAGTCACTATTTCTAAATATATCATACCCGTCCCTTAGCCTACATTACAACCTAAAAGTCCTAATTGATCCTAGATTTGACTAGCTTAAATTAGTGGAGATATACACTACGGGCAAGCTTATGGAATGACCACGGGATGCATATGAATTCTTTGTGAGAGTGAGCGAATTTTGTTCAATTGTGTGATGTCCTTAAATTATGTTCAAAAGCATATTTAAATATGTGGACCAATTTATATTCACTCTCAGTTTGTTGGTGAGCGCACATGATCTCATGAATGATTGGTAATGTTGTAAACTTTCTTGTTGGGTAAGTGCATAAATTGAGGGTACTTAGTGGTTGCAAGTCGGCTTGTGAGGTTGGGTGGTGACAATTAGGTTATTGGAAATTATTGAATTGAAATATTATACTTAGGCTTGCTTAAACAGGAAGAATGTGAATTTTTGTGTATTCATGCTTGTGTGCCGGTATTGATCATAGTCAAGGGTATAGTGTGTGGTTAAAAGTTAAAGTGCTCCTCTATAATTGATACTTGTACGTAGTTGAGGGGATTTATTAGATAGTCCCATTGTTCGAGGACGAGCAACATTTAAGTGTGGGGTATTGATGATAGGCTATAATTACGTATTTTAGTCGATTATTACACTCTAATTTACTGCACTTTAGTTGAGTTTGCGCTTTAATCGCTAATGTTTTGCACTAACGATGTATTTTATGTCTTGTAAGAGTGATTCCGAGCTATATAGATATTATGGAATGAATTCAAGTGATTTGGAGCTTTGAAGTCTGAGTAAAAGCCCAAGGAATTAAGTCGGGATCGTGTCAGGGGTCAACTTTGATAGTTAAGAATAAACGAAGACTCGAAAGGGCATATTGCGTACTGTCTAGTAAAATACACATAACCTTTTGCTCAAAACTCAATTGTGGCTCCACAATATATGGTTGGAAACCTAACTCAAAGGGTTACAACTTTCACGTTTTACATTTTTCCAAATTCGAAATAGAACAGGGCGAAACACACGAGATTTGAGCCAACACGAATGAAACCGGGAAAAAGGGCCAGTTGAGCGCCACAGGCCGTGCCTGACGCCACTTGTGGTGCCAAAAACAGTATGCACAAATAATGGGGCGCCGTGGAGGGCGCCGGGCTGGGCGCTGGTGACGTGAAATGTATCCTATTTTGCCCGGGACAAGTTTATTTCGGCCCTAGACTTACCCAACTGATATAAAAGCAAGACTAAACCTATTTTTGAGGGGAGAGACGCACCTTGGAGCAAAAAGACATGCAAGAAACATTGAGGAGCAAGAACATCTCAGAATTCTTCATCTTTTCTTGTAATTTCAATTAATCAAAACTTATGCAATTGTTTGATTACATCATGAGTGGCTAAACACCTATTGTTCTGGGGTTGTGATT